GGGGGGGGGGAATTTAAGAAAATTTCCTCCATGGTGGGGGTAAGGAAATTTTCTGGACCACACAATAGATGTACTTACTTGTGTCCTGATGGGCAAATAGTACATTTGCTAGCTCCTCCTGAGCTATAGTAACCAGAAGAACAGGGCTGACATGATGTGCCATTTAATGAATACTTTCCAGAAGGACAAGAGTTACAACTGATCTGAGAAACATCTGGTTCAGAACCACTTGCACATTGCTATATTTAGAAAGAAATGCATGGTTTACCTCTTCCGTAACAAGACAATAAGAAAAGATACTAATAATGAATAAAATCAAAACTTTGCACTGTTTTAATATAAATTAATAATTAAAGAGCCTAACTCTAATTGCCTCTAAGTAAAACATAGAATTTACAGTCCCCCTCCATGAGTAATTAGCTTCTGTCAATCAAATTTCTAAATGAGGTTCTTAGTATTTTTGATTAATGCAAGGCAAAAATGAAAAACATCTTGCACAGTGTGCTGGAAACATAAAGTTATAAGAAAATGCAACCAAAGAATTTAAACTCCACCTTTTTTTTAAAGTCTAGTCTATCTAGCCTGCATTCAGCCGGTATAATTTCCTCAAAATAACTGATGGTAATACCGGCTGAACTCAGACTAAGTCTATCTCACCTGAGGATGCTGTGTAGGATCTGCACAGACCTTGTCAGGAGGGCATGCCTTACAAACCCCTTCACCATACAAAGAATACCAGCCGGCACTGCATAATGATGCCTGACCTGTCGTACAGTTATAACCTGCAGGACACGGAGTGCATGATGTTGCGCCTGCTGTGCTGTTGAATCCTGAGCCACAAGCCTTTTGAGGAAGAACATAGTAGTTTGATAATTAGAATATAATGTCAGAATATTTTTTGGATATTATGCACATATATTTTAAGCAAGTAGATTAATTCTAGATTGCTGGTCATAAAACTTCCTAGATTAGAGCATTGGTCTATGCTCTTCCTAGCAGGGAAAGAAAAAAACAGCAAAAACACAAAATTATAATAGGTACCAAGTATATATTGTATATCCTGTACATAATAAGTAGGATAAAAATACCAGTTACTGTAACTTCATAAAATGTTTGAAAATGACAAGACATATCAGAGCTAGTAATTCTGCTTAGGAGATTAGTAATTCAGATGCAGTGTAAAGTTTAGATCTAAATTTTTATTGCTTTTCACTGGTCGGCCATCCTTTATTTAGACCTCCCTTATGAACAAGCTCAGTGACATCATGGTGTAATAAGGCAATCCTAATATTATTCAGGACTTCATACTTACCACACAAGCAGCAGAACTCTGAGAACCAGTATTTATATTAGCAGTGCCAGCACTGCATGGCATTGGTGCACTTGAATTCCCTTCACAGCTATTAATTGAAAGGAAAAAAAATAAAATATAACACCAAGAAATTTTTAGCAATTATAACAGTGCTAAATAAGATATTTCTGTAGAAATATTGTAAATCTTATTTCATATAATTATATAAATTATATTGCAGCTGCTTTGATTGGCAAATCCCAGTTGTATCGAGCTCAAATTGTCTGGCTAATATAAGTATTATATTGGAATTTTACTTCTTAGATTTTGCAAGGTCAGTAAAACTATAGGACCCAGAGAAAAACCCTTGAATTAAGAGAGAAACCTGCTTGCTAACAAACTCTACCCACATGTGATGCAAGGATAATGAATGGAATTCAGGACCCTCGAGGTGGGTGCACTAGCTAGTACTGCAACACACAACCCTTGATTTCCATCCACCTCAGACAGTTGTAAGACAGACATTGGTTAAGTATCTTGGTATACTTCTTATTACCATGGAAACATGCCCTCCAATAGCATTGTAACAGTACAGCGTATAGAATATGTGACAGACACTGATGATGTATCATATATCAGAGGCATGCATATATTGCATGGTTTGCTATGGCACTGTCCATGGGTGATGGGTGCTGCATATAGTTCATGCCTGTGGTTGCAGGTTTAATTCCTGGCTGAGCCACTGCACATGCGAGTTGAGTTTGCTTGAATGAGTTTTTTTGTTCTTGATTCCTTTGCCATACAGTTTTTCTCCAATAACTACAGGACTATTAGTTCTAGTGACTCCCCCCCCCCCCCAAATAAATAATAAATAAACTCCCTAACTCCAATTTTCTACATTTAGTGGTACCTACGTGTGTGTGTAGTGAACATCATGCAAGAGCCCCTTGAGTGATGGTTGTAAAATATAACATGCACATTTTTTCCCCCAATAGCTATAGCTTTTATTAATATCATTGTCTATATACCTTTTTACCTTAACATTGATATAACTAAAACAGCTTTACAAACTGAATTCTGGACATTCATATAACTAAATGTGTTCTACTTTCCTGTAGCTCTATAATCAAGCATTTATATTTATGCAAACTTTTTGACAAGGAACTTAAATAATTGACTTCCATTATATCTTACATAACACAGGGGGGGAAGAAGGTCTTTATAAATTATGTTTCAAGAAAATATAAATTAGCGAAAAGATACTTGATTATATTGCACTGTATCACACGGCTCTATAATTTTAAGGATTTAAGGATTTTCTAACTTCAGTGCTTCTGTTTAGAGATCTTTAGCTTTTATCAAACTACAGTAACAACACTATAAGCTTATACTAAACTTCCTTTGCCTTATTTAGCTTCTAAAGCATACAGCTGTACGTTAGCTTACAAATTATACTTCTGCGACGAATTTTATAAATTAAGCAATGCTTATTGAATTCTTATTGAAGTCATACCTTTTTGGAAGCAAAATCATTAAAAGAAAAGAAAAGAAGGGTTTATGAAGTAGGCACTCTATTACTATACTTACAAATAACCGCTTGGACATTGCACACAAGTAGACGTTTGCCAAAAACTGCCAGCAGTACAGTTTGCTTTATCGCAAGGACAATCTACGCCACAATCACAAGCACTTTCCGCGTTCTCTGTTACAAATCAAAGAAAACCAAGGTTAAAAGACTATTTCAACCGCGAAATCCGATAATTTCCTGACACAGAAGTTAATGATAAATAAGCTAACTTTATTATGAATCATAAAGAGAAGGCTGACTTTAATACCTGCATAAAAGACGAGAACAACGAAGGCAAACGCCGCCAAAAACTTGCACCTTCGAAGGTGTCGAAAGTCAGGAAATTTCCCCAGCAACATGGATAAAATTTTAGCTCTTTTAGAGCTTCAATTACGAATAACTTCAGACAAAATCATCTGGACATTCCTACTTCACTTGGCAGATCTCAGTTCCTCGAAGAGCGGGTTTCCAACAGAACTTAAACTTGGCTCCAATTACAATTTTTTTCGAATTCCTAAACTCCTTGAAGCTCACTCCTTTGAAAAAGAGTTACAATAATTTCTAAAAAGCACTGAATATATTTTATAATTCTCTACAATTCGAATTCAAATTCGAACTTTAATCCATGTGTACTGCTTGGTGTTGATGACTTAGGAGGTGACGTYACGGGGGATACGTTGCTATGGTAATCACTCAAATGTTTATGGCAAACTTTGGATTTGGACAATGGCGAAAGACATTTTTGGATCGCTATAATAAATATGCGGACAGCCAAATTATTACAAAATCGCTAGTTTTTTTACATTCATACACTATAAATTCATTAATGAGACTTGGATACTCTTAAAACATGTTTAGGTTAATCGAAGAACGAGAAAAAAGATAAATAAGCTTGAAACTGTGAAATTTTACCAGTGGAATTGCTATGATCCTGTCACTGGGCTTAGTCCTGTTGTTCGAAATGTCAAAATACAAAATAAAGAGTTTATCGAGACGTCAGCGACAATATAACAACTCCTGTTCCGTGACTCGTCTATGATGACTGTCAAAAGGGGCCTGTATGCATAGACTTTTAGAAATAAGGAAGGGGGTGTGCTCTTTACATAGGTCACATAGGTCCCCCTGGATAAATAAGATAAGATCTTGCTGTTTACTAGAATTGTTGAAGTCACACGTTAAATTTCCCGTATACCCGTGCATTCAAGGTATTGAATGCCGTGTGTGGGGAGGGGGGRTGGGTATCAGGCCGATTGCCAAAGGAAAAGATGTTGAAACGGCGTTCCACGGCTCATTTCATACATTTTCCAGTTCAGAACATGAATTGAATTGCTTAGGCTTTCTGTACGTGTTTACGTGTTGGGAACTGGCTGAGAGGAGAGGGGACTGAAAGGGAAATGTAAAATCAGCAGCAGAACAAAGGCAGCATAGAGCGGTCGGCCATGGAGATTTTCCGTGGTCGAGAAAAATTGCTCGTTTTGGAGGGTAGTGGTACTTAATTGCCGTACGCTTGTCCACCAGCAATAACTGAGTTCCCGGATTAGGAAGAGTATGTAGCATAATCGTTTGGAGGGGGTTGAGGGTTCTAAATATATATTTTTTCTTCTTATAGGCGCCTTGTTTATCAAGACAAACCGAGACTAGCGGACAGGGTGGAGCCCCTGAAAAAAGTGGACACTCTGCAAAGCATAATTATATTATTGATGACCAATGATTTTAGGGATAACTGTACACATATCATTACTCCAGCCATGTTTGTTCTTATAAGAGAATACGTACCTTCAACCTGTGATGAAGCACTTGACAGCGAGCTAGCAGTTTACCCGGAATTACTGACTAGTTCAAACCGATGTATCACTCAAAAGTTTTATTGATCCTGAAACAACCCACAAGGCTGCTAAAATTCAGGGAACGGCTAACTCACGGATCAAATGCGAATTTAGTAAATTATAGGTTTTGCGGAGGGAGCGAGAAAAACTAGAGAACCCAGAATAGGAAAACCCCCAATGAAGGGACACCTACTCACGTGATGTCGAGTATATAGGACCCCAGATGTAACAAGGCGAGTGCAGTCATTACTGCTTTGCCACTTTCCGAAAGTACGGTGGGCAATGAACAAACAGCAATACTAAAAACAAATAATACTTTTCAAATAAGCTGCTTTATTTCTAAACATGAACCAATATCAGCACATTGCTAAAAACTAACTTTGCAACTGTCAATCAAAATAAATTACATGCAATATATGATTAGGATATATTACGAGATGAACTACTTTGACGTACTGTTGTATTTGTTAACTCGTGTCGCACTAAAGATTTTGCATTAGAATGCTTGCAAGACCTCGGTAAACAAGGAAACGAACTTGCGCACACCGATAATCATTTCTAATCTTGGTTTCTGTTTTTGATGAATGAAGTTTTCATTCACGCGCGCGTGAAAAAGCCGGGGTCAACGTTTTTCCATTTAAAAAAACTATTAAAAGCCACTTGCGTCTGAAGATTTTGATTTGGAGAAAAAAGTTGTTGCGCACCCGACGAAGGAATTCCAAGATTCAAGCTAAAATATTTCCGTTGAAACATTTCCTCGTTTACACAGGGTTTATATAAATAGTTTCAACACAAACTGCAATTGCTACAAAATTGAATTAACAAGACTAAATTATGTGTAATAAGCGACGACACACAAGTTAGCTCTAATACTTTACACTACGTCATGATCATGAGGTTTGAATCAAGTTTGATTTTCAATGGAAATCGCAATCAACTTGTTAAGCAAAAACTTAACTATAGCAAGAGCCTGCATATCATTACTGCTAACCAACCCCTTTTCCTTGCCCCTCCTCAGGGGGTGGAGTGAGGGTTGGTTTTAGACGGGGCTACTAGTCCTATATTTTTTGCATCTACAGTGAAAATCAAGCCTTAACAACAACAATTTCAAGTTTTTGGACTCTTTCGCGATGCAGATTGTCTTTAAATCTAAACCGTACTAAGTATTTTAGGAACCATAAAAATATATATAATTACGCTTTATCTTGTTGGTCCAAACAAAACTTTTATAGGACTATTTTTCTTAATATAAAAATTAGGGTTACAATGCATTTTTATTTACATAATTTATCTAATACAAAGCGCGAAAAATCAAGAAATGGCAAAGTGGAAGTTCGGCTCTCTCGAGACTGACTCATCCAGCAAAACCTTAATGAACCTATATCAAAATCACAGGTACGTAATCCAACTGGCCTGTGATTGACGTGAACCAGCACGCACATACTGCCAGGCTGGATTTTGTACCACAACTTCTAGAAGATGAGTTTTTACTGGAGCCGAACTGTTCCACGCTATAGTCATATTTTCCAGTTCACGACATGAAAGCATGCATTTGAAGCAGATATAGGGAACGGTCCGTTGTATTAAGCGCCTATGCCTAGGATACCCTCGAAAATGCGGGAATAGCATATCCATGGCAACTGTTTCCAAGGTCTAGCACCCCCTATCCGCTCTGCGCATGCGCCGTCACCGGTCGTCGTTTCGCCGCACGCTTCGATTTGTGCTTAATGTCGCGAGTAACGACTTATTATGTTAGGCTTCTCTCTAAATTATTTCTAAACCTTTTTACAATAGGTCGAGGTGACATTTTGGTCATATTTTGGAGAGCAAATCTGACAAAACTTACATAACCAAAATGGCAACAAGATTTGCTCAAATGAAGGACAGCGACGTTTGTCCACTTTAACGGTAAATTGTAAATGATAGCGACCAGAAAATATTTTAGCTTGAGATTATATAAAATATAGCATTTTTAACTGCATTTACCGACAAAAAGACTGATGTCCACATTTGCACTGTTCATTTTGAGAGACTTGAGGTTAAGAAACGACCAAAGATAGTCTTTTCTCCTTCGAGAACCAATGGTTAAGAATTATACTTCAAAATGAAAGGCACAAAAGCGACACCAAGCCAACATCCATAACATTAAAAACTCAATCTAAATTATGAAAACCAAGTAAAAACGTACAAAAAATAGAAAATAAAAAACTTTAAATGCGTTTTAAGAATAAGATAATGCGTCTTTATAATTACATATTCTTTTCAAGACACAAATTAATAACGAACTTAGATGCATATCGTGGTTTTATGCTTTCCTCTTGGGAAGGCTTATGTCTTAATAAGCGGTTAATAGTTTCGACTCGAAACATTGGACTCTTCCAGTCAGTTATAATTAAATATATATTTCTTATTGGACTAGACCCCCTTATAAATATCACGACTGAGGGGGTGTGGGGTAGGTGAAGTGCAATTTGTAAATGAATATGAAGACAATGATGTCAAATGGTTGGTGGGGTGAGGTACGGAATTTTAAACAGATTGTGTGTAAAACGAAAAACCAAGGTTACCGAGCGAAATTCCGTATTTTGTGACACTTGCTTTTTAAACTTTAGTTGGATTTAGCTTTTTCCTTTTCCATCGGTCAAGTGAGGCAAGGGTCTTAGTATATGATGTGGGACGAAACTGGATGAACGTGTAAACCTTAAGAATTTATATATACCCTGAAACAACTTCTGGACGGATGAAAATCAGGGCACGGGTAACTCACAGATTAAATTGCAATTTTTGCGGAGGAAGTAAGACTAGAAAACCTAGAGAAAAACTTTCAAATCAAGGGCAAATCAAGGACTGTACATTCATGTGATGCCGAGTCCACGTATCGAACCTACTGACCCCAGAGGTGAGACGCGATTGCGCGAGAGTGTATTGAACTGGTTGAGCGTAAATCCAACTGGAGTTTAAAAAACCAAGGATCTCAACATAAGGAATTTTGCTTTACAAACCAAAATCTTTCTTCAATGGTATAACGATGACAACTATAAAGAAAACTGTCTGCGATTATAGGAGAGTGCTTACTACACGGCTAATTATCGATCAATATATTCTACGAACTAGAGACATTTGTCTACAAGTATGGATTTTTTATAAGCATCAGTAGTGCATGCAACAAGGCTTTTTCTGAATTCGATAAACATGATGCATTATGGTCTAGCTCGGGTAATCACCAAACATCACCATATAAGGCATGATGAACAAAATATGTCCTTTACCCAAGTTAGACCACAATGCACCATGTTCACTATCTCAGAAGAAAAACCATGTTCGTACATTTGCCGTTGACTGTCAGTCACACATTCTTTAGTTTTTTGATTATCTAATTCTATAATTAAATACTATCTATATTTCATATTATTTACTAATAAGCACATATTCTATAGATCCCAGGATTGATAGATCATAYTACCGTTTAGTTTTTCGTCTTGTACCTTTTTGTTTGCTTTAAATTCATCCATAAGTTTAGAGCATCTCTTGTCTTTCTCTTCCAGTGTGTAGTTATCGACATGGTATTTAGAAGTTCCTTCATTTTCATAGCCGTTTACTGCTTCAGGTTCAACTATTTGGTCGATTTTCTTATCGACTAGCGACTCATTGGAGCTTCCGCTGCTCTCCAAATCAATACCCAGTTTTCTTTGCAATTCTAAAAGGTGCCGCATATTAGCGATCATGTTAGGCTTAAACGAGAACCCCCCGGTCTCACTACCGCTTTCAAATTCACTTCCAGTTCCTTCACGATCCCATTCATAAGGCTCCTCTAAATGAGGAAACCGTTGTTTCGGAAAGTTCCGTGAAGAATAAGGTTTCCCAACTTCGTACCATTGTCCTGTTTCGCTTCCAAGGCTTCCACGTGCCGAAGAAGTTTCAAATCCACTTGAAGATGTTGCACTGGATCGCATTGAGTTTGGCTTGGTGTTTCTTCGGTGAACGGCTGGTGAATCTATGCTATTAGTTTCACTCAAGGAAACTTGAGTTGAATAAATACCACTAGACGCGTTCGACGGTGTGCGAGAGACTGTTATGGGTTTAAGCTTGTAGAAAGGATCGCAAGCTTTCAACTGATCCATCGAATCGGAATACATAGAGTCATTTAAGGTCGAAACCGTAGCTACATTATTGACAGCTAAATGTGGAAGGTCGTATAGTTTGCTCTTTGGATCTTCCTTTTCGCTCACATCTGAATCTGTATCCATTGATTTGATATACGACACGGCACGGAACAAATGAGAGCGATCAGGCTCTCCAGAGAACGACAGTCGTCTGCTATCGATAGTATCCTTCTCAATATTGCGAGCAATATCTGCGTCAACGTCAGAATCCGTGAGTGAAACAAGTGAATGCGCTGGAGAGATGCTGTTCTCAGAGTCACTCTCGATTGACTTCAAGGTTCCTATGTTGTCCTTAGGATGTGGCCCGTATGGTTTTCCAACAGACCCTTCAGAGTCTTCTTCCCATGACTTTATTTCATCAGTATATGATTGCTTTAATGAATCAGTTCTTTCCAGGTGAAGATACGAGCTCTCGCTACCTTCAACAAGTCCATTTGACTTGGGAGATTCTTGATGCGGTTGCCCATCGTCGCAGGAACACTTTAAATTGGTCTCAGAATCTTGTTCCGTGATCGGATTAAGCTCCGGTTGATGGGATACACATCCTTCGTAATAAGAAGAAGGCCGATGCATTCGCCTTCGTCTGCGGCCTAACGAACCCACCGAATCAGAATCGGAATCTACGTTACCTTGATTGCTTCTGAAGTCACCAAGATTGGTATACACTGCAGGAGAAGACCAGTGATGAGGATGGATCTTCGACTGCCTCAGAGGTACATCAGGCCTTGGAGGTAGGTTTTCATCGATGTTTTTGTACCGTGGACCTCGTATGGGTTGTTTCCCTTTATCAAACTGAAGGCTTGAGTTAGAGTCAAACTTCTTGACCAAATGAATCTTCGAGCCTTTGTGTTCATACAAGGCTCGCTTTTGGGCAACACGATCAAGTGATTCACGTGACCCCACGTCACTTGGAGATCGACAGAACTGATCGTACGAGTCACGCACTTCGTTTGAAGCTGGCCTTGATAATGTACAATTAAACCAGCCATTTTCTTCGACATCTCCAAAGAACTTTACCTTATCTGTAGGCGATGTGGGGGATGTAAAAGTGGCTTCCGAAGGCCCATCGGCATAGTTTATCATATTGCCACCAAATACGTGGTCACACGATGAGAGAATTAAGAAATCATCTTCTTTCGTAATCTTTCGTCGCCAGTGTTTACCGTTACCATTGTCATCGCTTTTATCTGGAACGAATCTTACTGTTTCTGGCCTGAGCTTGATGTCTTCGTCATTAAAATCAACGTCTAAGTCTCCTTCTTGAACTTGGGAAGATCTACTACTGTGRAAAAAAAAGAGATCGATGCGGTCAGTATATTATTACCCCAAACTATATTCAGGCTATCAATACCTAGTCACGATATTTTTATAGAATTAAAAATGTAACCAAACATGATACTAAGTAAAATAAAAGAAAAAAAGAAAAGAAAAAAAGAAGAAAAAAGAAAAAAGAAATAAATAAAAGAAAAAAGTTAACAAACTTACGATTTATGTCAACAATATATCAAAAACATATCCTGCGATATCCCTCTATTATTTTTCAGGCTAAGATTATTTGTTTATATACTACAGATGGTTTATAGTTACCTCCAGATTAATCCCATTGCATAAAAAAAGACCTCGAAATCTTCTAGAAAGATCTAACGCACTATATATCTATGATTGCGTCCAGCTTTACCATTAAAATATATCCGAACTAAATGCCAAAAAAAAAACTACTTTTAAGAAAGAAGATTTCGCTCAAAAAAAATTAAGCGCGTCAAAACGAATTATCGTTTTTTTCTTCTTTGAATAGTCTTAAGTCGTCTGGGATCTTTTAAGACTTAGAAAAAACTTTTTAGAAAACTTGAGACTTGTATGACTTATTGGAAGTCTTGTATATGGTGATGAACTTTCGCATGTTTTTTTTGTCCTTCAGTTAATACCAAATGCTGCCAAGGTTTTATGCGTTCCCACCTGTAATACACGGAATACCGCTGACAAGTGGTCAAAACATTCGGCGAAAAGGTTTTTTGAGTGGACGAAAATTAATGCATTAATAACATTAATACTAATTTATGGATACTTAATGCACAAAAAAAAAAAAAAATCGAAAATTAAGAAGAAAAAATTCAAAATTTTAAAATTACGAAAATAATATAAATTGCTCCTTAATTGTGAATTCTGTGATATTACACCTGCCTGTTTGTTGAGTATTATTTTTAGTTCATTGAGACTACAGGTGCAGAGAGTGATGTTACAGGTGGTTCCGTGGTTACCATGGAGATGGCTTGATAACAGGTTAACACTGGTTTGCCGATCCACACAAATTATTTCATTGAAAGTCAATTGCCGTTTTTCTAATATAATAATTGGGTTGCCCAGTGGGATAGATATTTGGAACCAAACATTCTGGGTATAATAGGCGTTCTTGTTGAGAAAATTTTAAGGATATACTTATCGCTATTATTAATTATACTTAAAAACAAAAATAAGTGAACGAATAGGAAAGTATATTGATTGATGTTGATTAAGTACGAAGCTAATTAAGGCAGCCTACATAAATCTTCGCATAATCTATCAAATGGCAGTTCACTTTTTATATTATTTAGTGGAGTTAATAAAGGAAACTACATAGCTTCAAGGAGATTAGAATTTTTTCTGAGAATGTTGAAAGAATATTTTACGAAACGCAGCAAATGAGTAAAAATCACTGTCAAGAGGCCAAGACAAAATCTGGTGAATATATATCTAGCTAATAAATGTCTGATTAACGAGTGCTCAACAAACTATAGCCTTAGAAATTCGTACTCTTATGCAACACTTTTTTTTATCAAATCAAATTAATACTGTTTTTCAATATATGAAGACTGTTCTTATCGCTTTTACTTTTAAAGGGAAAGAAATATAGATATATTTCGATCGTCAATAGTTTAACAATATCAATAGAACATTAATCTACATTTGCATCGTATAGTTTTTGTATATATTTTTTAAGTTTTCAAGTTTTTATTTTTTCGTTTTCGAGGGCCATACGTTAGATAAATGAGAGGCTAATTATGTTACTCTCGTAAAATAAAGATTTAAACATAAACAAAATTTAGCTTTAATATCATGGATAATATTAGTAGTAGCCTTTGAAAAACGAGTGGGGGTTGGGACTGTTTGTACAGGGACTGGGCAATGCTTTTGGTTAGAAAGTGGCCACAGTAACATATGAACAGAAAACATATCAATAGAGGCTTTGCATCATCATGTGATGGCAGCCATGACAGCGGGCACAACAATGGAGCCTTTTCCCCCATGTAAACTGATTTTTTTTCCACATGTAAATCAGATTAGACCAGGTTGTCATTACGTGATGGCGCAAAGCCTCTATATTGGGGGAAATGGCTGAGACCCAAGTGGATTAAAAAGCTCTTCTAAATAACGTGTTCCTGGGCAGTATTTCAAACCAGCAGACTTCTGCAGAGCTGAGGCGTTGTATGGACTTCGAACCTGAGGGCTGTACTGATTATATAGGATAATGTACTAGCCCGAAGAGCATTCGGCGAGTCCCACTTAATTGGGTTTGCAATTGAAAATTAAGAATAACGTTCCTCACCTGTCTGGAAGAAGAAAATGAACCTTTTTCGACGCTTTGTCTTCAGCTGTAAATAGAAGTTTAAAAGAAAATGTTAAATAACGCTTCCTTAATACCGTGGATGACCAGACGTCCTCACTCTACATTGGAAAAGCAATTTTTGGGGTGCATGTAACGTCATAGCCGCCATGTTGGTTGACTATACGAAGCATTCCTCATTAAGCTTCTCATGTTAGCTCAACCAAGATGGCGGCTGTTTCTGTGTTATTTATATCTCAAGGGATTTTTCGGTCACTTGGTGGTACTCCAAGAATACTGCTGGCGTGAAGGAGTAGTCCAAAATAATAGTTATTCAAATTGGTCGCAATATTTCAATTTGGTGTAAAACATATTTTTTAAAAACATTGTGAGTACATATTTTCGATGATATCGAGTCAGCAGTAATCTTTCAAACTTGCAAAACAAGTTTATGAACTACTTACGTTTCTTTCTTGCACTGTATTGCACAAAGCAGAAACACAACAAACAGAGCAGTAGGATAAAAGCAATGGACCCAAGGACACCAGCTACGATAGGAATCACGTTATTGGCAGTTTTTCTTTGACTAACGACAGGCGGAGCTATTGAAAAAATACACAAACCGTTAGAAAACGATTGGAGAGTGTCATAGGCATTGAACGTGTACAGAGACTTGAAAAAGCGAAAACAATTCCTACCTTCCTATCTTTCCTACCAGAATTGAACAACCTTTAAATTTCTAGACTCCATATACATACTCGCTGCGCTCGTGGTTTCACTTGAGTTTGGATCATATGCTGACGAAATTCCATGTTCGATAAGAGATAGAAAAGGGACCGAAAAAAAGGGGCCTCTATTTGCTAATTCGAAAATTTGCCCATGCGCATTGCTTTCCTACAGGAAGACCAATTCTATATTTCACCAAATATACCATCGGTACCATCGGTATTACATTTGGTGAGGGGGCCCTGTCATCATGCTAAATCTGTACCAAGTCAAATAACCACGTTTACGCGTGAAGGTTACCATTCTCCCTTGCTTGTCTCAGACAAATGAATATAAGATTAAATTCTTACCTATCACATATGTCTTGGAAGCATAGGCAGGCTCACTGAACTTTTTAGCATAAGCATACACTCGGAATTCATAATCCGATTCAGGTTCAAATAAATCAGCTCTAAGAAGATAGACCCTTTGATCGCCATTGACCATCTCGTCTGCTCTTGTCCAGGCAGCAGAGGAGTTCTTCTTATGATACTCAAGAACGAAATTTTTTATTAAAGGTCGTCCTGGCACTTGATCGTGATCCCATGATACATAATAACCTTCAGATGTAATGTTGACTATGACGTTGGTTGGGGGAAGAGGTTTTTCTGAAAACAAATTCAACAAGATAAGCTGTCATTGGAAACTCTTACTAAAGACAAAGGATTTCCAAGTCTTTTGGATGAATCACATTTCAGTTCATACGATTTACTTTGTACATTGTTAAGAGCCCATATTCGAAAAAATGCTGATTTGATCAACGTTGTAGTCAAAGGGAAACTTGAATAAAAACCATAGAAGGAACGATCCCTCTTGTCTTAGGTACCTTCGCACCGGTATGTTAGTACTCTGGCAAATGTTGGTGGAGAATCGGGAGCGTCGACTTTTAGATCCGATGACGAGTACGAGTACGACAGCGAGTTTTTGACTATTAAAGATTTTTCACTATCTTTTCGTAGTCGTGGTCGTGAAAGTAGATTGAAACTTTATATTGTGAAAAATCAATTATGATGATGGTAGGCTAGGGATGGTAGGAATATTATCATTATATATTCATTTATCTTATATTTAAGCCTATTTGTCAAATAACAGCAAACTAAGGAAAATGTAGTAAGTTTTTGTCCTTAACTTACCAGGCAAAAATGGCACTATTTGTGGTCCATTTTTGTCATAAAGAGCGGGCAAGCTAAAGCCCCCAGCTCCCTCTCTATTGACCCCACGCACAGCAAACCAGTAATTAACACCCAACTCAAGATCACTTAGAGTGTAGGTCGTCGTGCTTGATGGCAGTTTACGATTGGATTTCCACTGGAAGTCAGTGTCTGATGCCTTTCTGTACCAAAGTTCAAAGGTCTGTATATAGCCTCCGTCATATCCAGGTATCCAAGAGATGGTGGCTGCTGTACCAGACCTGGAAATCGCCGTGACATTAGGTGCACCAGGAGTTGCTGAAAGGATTAAAACCCAAATAAGACAATGTATAATTGAACTTGTTTGAAAATTTCAAAAGCATAGAGCTGCTAAGTGGGTTTTGGCTGGTCTGGAATCAAGACGTAATACGGGTAAACGGAGGACAGCTGCTATTACAGTTGCGCCCGCAATAAGATATTATTTTGTTTGAAGAATCATGCATAAGGCTCAGTATAGGGGGTGACACAATGCTTGTTGTCTCAATTGCATCTCATATGCATGCATTCATAATATCTATTTTATTCAGCTATTGCTGAAAAAAGGAAGCACATCTAATTGAAAGCATGATACTCACAGATTACTGTTACAGTAGTGGAGTGCTTCGCCGTTCCTTCTTTAGTTGATGCAAGACAAGCGTATTCTCCATAATCATCACGCTGGATATCAGTAATAGTTATGCGGCCACCGTCCACTTTAGACCGGCCCACAGGTAGTGGCCCATTGACACGTATCCATGTCAACTGCACTGGTAACCCTCTATTAGATACAGCATCGCAGACCAGACTTATCGTCTTACCGACGCGAATTTGTTCGACGCTTTGTGGCACTCGCGTGAAACGTGGGACAACTGGAGAAGAAAGACAATTGTCAGGTATTTTTTAACTTATAATTACTCGATTCTGATTGGACAAGAGGAGTACAATTAAATCCCAAATCGTACTCTTTAGAGTCCGAATTGTAAACTTACTTTTATCATAAAAAAGCAAGACCTTTAATATATTTCCAAGTTAAAAAGAAAACTGGAGATTTTGTACATTAAGTGTCTGCGTCGTCGAGTGCTGCCTATTACTTTGGCGGAAAAACCGGAAGACCACCGCTTAATGGAGGTAATATTCAAGTTATTGGAAAGTAGAGCATTGGCTGGAATTAAAGTACCTTCTTATTTGAGGGTATTTTAATGAAACTATGTACAGGGTTCGTGCTACATTCTCGTTACAAAATTCAAGGACTTTTCAAGCATAAAAAATTCGATTTTCAAGGACAAATTTTTATGTATTAGAACGTGGTTGGCTAATTCAGCCGGGGCCACTAGCTTAGATAAAAAACGAGCATGACACGCAACTAACTAGTAAACAAGCAACCAGAAACTCTTCAATCAATTTTAACCGTTATTTATTTTAAAAGGTAAGTTAGAAATAACATTAAGTTTGCATTAAATCCAAGGAGTATTCCAGGGCCGGGTTGTTCAAAGCTGGATTAGCGCTAATCCAGGATTAACTCTATAGGTCTTATTAAGAATTAACCCAGGATTAGCACTAATCGGGCTTTGAACAACCGGGCCCAGGAGTTTTGGCGTTTCCCCCTATTTTCAAGGGCCTTTTCAAGCGCCCTTAAAAACGTGTTTTCAATTCAAGGACTTTTCAAGGATTTCAAGGAGTAGCACGAACCCTGTATGTAATGGAATGTTTATGCCCAAAAAAGTTATTACTAAATTAAGAATTATTCCCTTCATTGCCTACAATTTTAAGCACTAAAATGATCGATTATTCAACACTTACTCGTAATGACAAGCCTTGTAGACTTCGAATTCCCTTTTCCAATAGAGTTTGATGGTGTGCAAGTGTAAGTCCCCGCATCTGATGTCTTTATCGATCGTACAAGAAGAGTCCCTTCTTGAAGTATTTCATACTTGGGCTTTTTGAGTACCTGTCCAGCAAGTGACCATGTGGTTGATACTGTACCAGGATTGGCTTTGGATACGCAGGGTAATCTTGCATCTGAGCCTTGAGCGGCTGAAACTACGTCCTCAATGAGAATGATATCTGGAGGGACTGTACAAAAAAAAATTTTAACATGAAGATCGGTCTCGCAATCTCTACAACTAATAAAAGCTATATTCCTTTGGATAAAGCGAAAATGTTCTCTTGGATGCAGTGACATTTCCTTAATTAATCAATTGTCAAGCGTTACTGTTAAGCAAAGAAATACAGCTATAATGATATGTTGTCTAAAAGAATAAAACGAATTAGGTGAATATGAGTAGCCCCAGGAATGCTACCCTGGGTTCTAAAGGTCATTTATTCTCTCTCCGGCGTTTGATTGTTTTGAAGTCGCTCGCTTCCTCGCTCGTTACAACCACAAGAAGCAAAATAGGACCTCTGGAGCCAGGGATACAGAAATGCAATCTTTATAATTTAAGTCACTCTCGATAAGGGTACATAGCACACTGGTTTTGGTACAAACAAACATTTGCCAATTTACTGGCCTTTGGCACTTTTTGTCTCGTTTAGTGACCTATCACTGATAGACCTATATAACACTGAAATCTTTTGTGAAAAACTCAGGGCATTTTAATTTGATTGCTTCAAAGGATATCGTCTATTCCGTGCCGTGATGGTGTGATTTCGAAGTCTTACGAAATCTACCCTGCGTAATAGCCAATCAGAAAGCAAGCACAAGAAGAGTACTTTGTTTTAATACTATAGAGTACACTCCATATATCCGTGAAAAATATTGTAAGAAAGTGCACAACTTTGAACAAATTAGTAAGTTCAGTAGACCTCAGTAGATAGCAAATCTACAAAACTTTGCGTTAACGTTTTCAGGGATTGGATATATGGTGCATATGCAATCTATCTTGTAGCTGATATATCATTGTTCTCTTACACTGAACATCGAGGAAAACGCTTTGTCCTTGATAGGAAAGGATACTGGATCCCGTTGGATCAAGGGTTCTGGCTGTACATAGATAAACTCCCGAGTCTTTTCTATTGCAGTTTTTGATGTAGAGTTTCCCCCCAACAAGCAAGGAAATTCCGGGGCTTGGTGATGATGAAATGTCCGTCCCATCTTTAGTCCAGATGAACCGTGCATTTGTAGTTGAGATGCTGGAATCTATGTTACAATCCAAGACTGCTGGAAAACCCTCGGTCGTGGTTTTACGATTTGAAGGAATAACTTGAGGAATACCTAAAATACAATAGACAACAGTATGACGTAATCCAATAGGTGTGCACACATGGTATATCAAGGTATCAAATCATAGTGAGCAATCAAAGTAATGGATATCAATGCATAATGTGTGTGGTATGGTGAATTGTGCTGAAATAAAAAGCAAAACTTGACAAAGAAATTAAAGACATGAGAAAGGAAAGAGTAAAATGAACGTGAGAATGGGAAATGAGACAGAGTGAACAAATGAAACTTTAAAAGAAATGAAAAAGACCAGGAATAGAGTTCAGTATTACAAAGCATGGTGAAGGCTCAATTTGTCTGACCACTCTGTGCCCTTCCATTTACAAGTCATAAAATGGCATTATTTAAACACGAAAACAACCTAATTCAAACATGCGAGTCTTGGGCCGACGGCAAAGCAAATATTCAGGGCCGGACTGGATAATAATTTGGATAATATCAATTTATCACCACTTTCAACCAAAACAGAACCGCACGCTAAAAATCGGGACAATCTTTTATGATTAAATTATCTATTATGAACTTCTCTTTTATATCTTCGGTTTTGCATAAAGTTAAAAATACGAAGCGACAATTTCAATCGTTCCGAGCGTAAATTGATCAATTAGATTTCGTAACAGAATATTGATATGATTGGAATAAACACTATTAAAAGTATTGTCATGCTATATCAGACGGGATTGTATCATTTTATTTTAATATTCCTTTATTTAAAGCTCGCAATACTTTGTAACGCTTACCTTGCGAATGAAATACCGTAATTACGATGAGAAACGAAAGTATTCTCCGTCCGGACATGAAGGAAAACTCCAAATTGTGATTTAAGATTGAACAAGAATAATAGTACGGATTTTGAGAAGTGTCTGGTTTGTTGAGGTCAGGCTTGCAGTGACGTCACGCGAGGTCAAATTCAATTCAAATAGTATTTAATAGGTTTTTGATAAGAGAAGTATTTGAACTGGACGTGATAGCCTACTGGCTTCCGTCGCTGTTTTGCGTCATTTCCGAACCAGACTTACGCAAATAATATCTACTTTAAGGGAAATAACATGATATTTTTAACCGAGCCATGCTGCTTATGTCTGAGTCACATTATCCAGTTACAACAGCTATTCACAAAAAAAAAGTCATCAAATACTGCATTGTGAATTGCCGCACATTTGGGTGTGATATAAATTCCGGTGAACTACCTGAGGCGTATAAAGGATTTCGCAGTGGGATGGGGTCATTTCCACTATCCTTAACAAATCAACTTTCCCTCGCTTCTTCCAAAACATATGCACCGTCTTAGAGACATGCATCTTAGAACCTCAAGACATGCATCTACCATTCATTTGCCTATTGTACAATACTTTGCTTCCTACGCACTATTTATATATAACCTGGTTTTTATTACGTGTATGAGCCATTCGCAGGTTGAGGAAAAAACTGGGTCGAGTTGTCATTGCAGTGCATTGTGGGGTTGTTTTAGAGGAGGAAATAGACGCCATCTTGGAAATATGTCCCCTAAAATAGTCCCCAAATGTGCATGCACTGCAAAGCCAATTCGACCTGGTTTTTTCCCCATCTCAATCTCGGAATGGCTAATAATGTATGTTTGGTAAAAACACTGTCGGCAGGCATAAAAAGGATTTAGTAGAATAGTTTTATTTTATTTTAATTAATCTTACTTTAGTTTACTTTTATCGTTATCTTTTAAGTTACTTAACCTAAATCTTGCATCATTTATTCATGCTGATTCATTCGAAAATCGTTTATCTATTCATCATCTGATATTCTGATTGATCTGACTTTAAATTGCTACTTGGACGAAAATCGCTCCAAAATTAAAACTCTTTCATTCGAGCTGGAACTTTGCTGAAATAATCTTGAATACATTAAGAATCACTCACTGAAATATCTTTCTGATATTCGAAAGGAAAGGGCCAAAATTTTACGATTTATTTTCGTCCGCCATTAATTTTTTGACTCACATAATTCGGCATTTTTCGTCCAATTATTTGGTCTCGAGATAATGTAATGAAACATAATGAATATGAAGAATGTGATGAGCGAGAATCTGAGTATGAATTAGAAATATTTGTATAATGAGAATGAAAGTAAGAAAAGAGGGAAGGAAGTAAAGAGACAAAAAGAATGAGAGAAAGGAAAGAAGAAATGAAGAAAAAACATCAATGACAAAATCTAAAATAAACTGAAAGGCCAAGCAAAATTAAAAATAGAACCGAAACAAAAAGGCATTCGTGTTTAAAAGGAAGAGCAGCAGCGTCGAACTTGGAGCCAGAGATATTAATAACAAAAATAATTTAAGAATAATAGCCCGCATATTTGACGGAAAGCATACTATTATAGCTAATATCCCTTTTACAGCATGAGAAGATTACATTAATGCTTAGTGGACTATCATCAATGGTTTTAAAAAGGAAAATGAAAAAACAAAAATAAAACAAAAGCTGCAAACAAAAATCCAAAAGCGTCGTCTGTTTTAATCGAAAATAAATGGAATTCGAAGAGTTCAAAAATGATGTGAATGACATTGTTTTCCAAAGAGGTCTTACGTTTGACTTCAACGTCGAACTCAAAGTCGATAGTGCCAACTACGTTGGTTGCAGAGCACATGTAACGGCCAGCGTCTGATGCTTTTGCTCCATTGATAGTCAACCAACCAGATGGATTATACGTCGTTCTTTGCAATGGTAGCTCATTATCCAGTCGAATCCATTCAATTCTAGGCTTAGGAATTCCCCCGACACGACATTCAAGATTAATGGACGAGTCTTCAAACAAGCTTACCCTCTCCGTTGGAAGTTTATGGAAGAATGGATGTTGAACTGATGTTGGTTAATGACAATTTGAGAGGTACAAATAGAACAAAAAAACAAGTTACGAATTAGCGCCTAAAACAAATCAACACCTAGGAATGAAGTTCATAAGAGTTAAATACCACAATTCGCGATAGATAAAGCATTAGAATCACGTAATTATCGTACTACATTATGTGATAACAACCTTTGTGATCTTTATGCCACATAGGTCAGATAAAAATATCAAAAACTTTGAAAAACTTTTTTTGATCCAACCAAAGACCAAAGCGTCGCACATAGACCACTTAAAAAAACGGCCGTTTAAGGCTTGAATCATTATCCCGACCGCAGACATATTTACGACATTTGAGTCGTTTGCAAGGTTCTATCTAAAGTGTTGGCACGCTGTTTGGCGTCCCACGTGCCAAGACACACAAAATGGAACATCAATAACAAGAACTGCACCAAACACTCGCAAAACCTGTCMCGATATTGATTATTGTCTTCTGCAAAGTATCGCAAATTCAACAAACTTGGCACCTTTTAAAGTTTTGCAGAAACACTTGTATTTGAAAACGTACTTTAAAACGGTTCGTAATGTTAATTTTTTTTGTAATAAATGCTTGAATCGATAAAATACAATGCATGAAGTTTGCTTTGAGAAAATGGTGTCAGCAACGACATTGGAGGGGGGAGGGGTAAGTAAAACTGAATATATGGGGGAGAGGACTAGTTTTATGTACTTTAGCTTACAACTTTGATATATTTCGTCATTTACAAGCAGCGAGCTTAGTCTAGATCCGATTAGTCAAATTGTATGCTTTTATAGTGTAAACACCGCTGGGGGCACTGTTGAAAAGCAAACACTACTAGCTTTAGTTGACAAGAAGTTATTTTCGAAAGTCGCAAAATAGAAACTGTACATGGTTGCTATGGTAATAGATTGACAGCTAAATCTAATGAAACCAATGGGTCTTTATATCTCCGAACATCAATTTATGTAAACATGTACCTCTGATGATTCATTTCTCGGGGCACAGAAACGTTTTGAGAACGATTTTACAAACAAAACACTTTGAAAACACAACCAAATGTGGTAAATTTTGTTTGAATGATTCTGTTTTGATTAGAAAGCTTTGATAAAATTCTAAAAAGAAAGACATTCTAAATAACCAGTGATGGTTTGTTGACATAATAGTGGCCAATATTTACTTGGTTTGATAGTACAAAGAAAATTAAAAGATGAAGCCAAAAAGGTTATTTACCAAAGTATGAAGAAACTAATGAACCAGTTTAGAGAGAAAATATAGCTAGCACCAACTTAACAAAACATGGATTACATTTATTAAGTGTGGCTTTAGAATAAATTATTGTCAGCCAATATTCGGGTATCGTAATCGACAAAATCACTAAACCATGTCCCCCAAGGATTTCTTACGCAGAAGAGCTATCCACAGCTAATGTAGATACGGAAAAACAATCCAATTCCAAAGTGCTAATAGAATTTCGTTCCTTTTCAACTTAATATGAAGTAAAAGTATTTAACTGTAGCCCCGATGCTGCTATTTATCGAAGTAATATTCGTTCAGGGTTGCTGGTTCCATTCAAAATAAAAACAAAAAACAATGGCGAGATAAAGAAATTAAGAATCTTCTGATGCTGTAAGAAAACTAACGAATAACCTTGAAATGAGTAAAGATAGCGCAGAGATAAACAACAAGATACTAAGCAGATTCCCAAACGGGTAATCGTGATAATATATTAGGATGGGAATCGAAGTGAAGTGATCACTGAGTAATAAAGATAACATGTGATATTTTTGGTCAGTTTGATCAAAAATTACTTTACTCTGACTACAGATAAGAATGGATTTAGTTAGTAGAGACATAAGAAGGACAAGTCAAGAAATACAAGTACATGTAGAGATTGTTAGATTACATCTAGACGACAGACCACCCACTGATCCTCCATCCCTCCCTCTCTTGCTTCCTTCCCTGTCGATATTTAAGGGTGCAGTAACCCCCGGCAGTGCTAATATTTCAAGAGAATCTTTGAAAAACTTTTTATACTAGCGCACGGAATATTTTTCCAGTTAAATCCGAATCGAAGATCGTCTTATTTTATAGGCGAAGCTTTCTTTTAGAATACGCTCGATTAGGCTTGATTTGGTACCCGCGAAATTGATCACACCTTTCACGAGAATATAACGACTATAACTACATTTAACTTACCTTGGACGTTAAGTTTTATTGGAATTCCTTGCTCAAATACCCCAGCTCCACCCGAGGTAGAAGTCATCATTGTTCTACATCGATATATCCCTGAATCTTTCTGACTTACTCGAGAAATAAGAATGGCGGACTGATTGACAATATGCAGCCGCCCTGTAAATTGGTCTGATATAAAAGGCTTGAAATTCATGAATTTAACGAAAAATGCAGTTTTGGAATTGTTAAGCCTCCAGTTGATAAGTTCGACGTTATTGCTGCTGGCTACGTTGCATTCTAAAACGACGTCTGAGCCTGATTTGACATCGATTACACGAGAGCTCTCTTCTCCTTGAGCGCCTGTTGGGAAACAGAAATTCTCAGTGATGAAGAAGATGAACTCGGCCATGAATGTTACAAATACTGGGCCGCGCCAGACACACGCACTACGCGCGACTTATAAACAATTTTCTAACTCTACTTTTATACAAATTATATTCAACAAAATGCAGATAGATCGTATATGGATGAATATTTATTTAGTCTGTCGATGAGTCATCTCCAACTCATCAAACTGCTCACAGCTATTTAAGTTGACTGTATACTTTGACCATTCGTATACAACATACCAAAAATCAAAAAATATTAAGAGTAGATCATAGAAATTGTTTCAGATTTGGTAGTTTATCTGTTCTTGTCAATTAATATCATGCGAGGATACTTGAGTGAGATCACTAAAGTAGAGTCCGAAAGAGAATAAATTATGTCGTATCATGTTGCGTTATTCGCGAAGAACGACGGCAAGTATATGACAACTTGGTTAGTTCACGCAAACACTACACACTCACAGTTTCACTTAAAAATATCATTGCCAAAACTTTACAAATCTCTCGGCGGGAAGAATTGGTTAGATGGTCAGATGAAGAACATCTAACAAGGGATTGGATTCGTTTGTCATGTAGGATAAAACAGTGATCTATATTTATCCGGACGTCGGGCCCTTGATGGCTCTAACGCTAGATCACAAGGAAACTACTCTAACTTTATCAAAATCGCGTACTCGCGGAAAAAAGGACAAAGAAAACAACTCAAAAACAACAGTTTAAGACATTCAATCTATAAACCGTTGTTTACATGCGATAATTTTAAAAACTTACCTATTCTAAGTAGAGAGATCGTCAGGTAAATCCACGCGATTTTCCACATCATACTTTTACGGAACCTGTGAAGAATCATATCATGAGATCCACGGGACTTATAGCGGGGAATATCAACGAAATACCAGCCAAAATATCTTCATAAAAATATCAAACCTTTTACACATGTTTGCGAAACTAACAAGCCAAACAAAGCGGCCTCCATCACAAATCGGCTCTACTCACGAGTCTCAAAGGAAACGATCGATGCACAGCCGTGCGAACAATAGTCGCAAACAAAGGTCATCATGGACCAATCACAGACCACTACAAAACCTTTGGCCAACAATTTAATAGAATCCATGACAACCTGAACGAGCTGTCACTGGATATTGACTTAGAAGCCGGTTTTGGAGTATCATGTTCAAGACGCACAAAGAATCCTGGAGTGCAATGAGGATGCTTGGCCGCAAATATTGCATCGAATTTATTTTTTATTGCTTAATTCTGACTACAAAGGATTTTAATGACAAAGGAAACGGTCTGCACAGACGCTAGACTAGATATTTGATTTCAATCTTTCAAAGACACGGAAGATACTTAATTCTCCAGAGTGGTAGTTATCATATTTCAAAACCTTGAAGCTATTTTTAACACATTCGCTAGCTCCTAAGTTAGACTTTTCAACATTATCCAGCTGTTATCAAAGGCATATCAAACGCCAAAAAGCAGTTAGATTAATAAGCTATTGTACTCATACATATCTAGTACAAAAGGCCATTATTTTTTTCAAACCCCTTGGGGACAATTAACTAATTAAAAAATAAACCATTAGCTTATAAATTGTGCAAAAGTTTTTTCTTAAAGCTTTTTACCTGACTTATAATAATATGAGTTAAATGTAATATGAGTAATTCTCAGTGCAGATTTTTATCAATTCATGCGCTTATTAATGGCTACTCATATACGTTAGTTTAGCGCTGTTCTAGCTATGGGCTCATATTTGAAAGTATCCCAAGCACGAGAGTGCTCTGCGGGATTATGAACCATGAAATTTGAGTTACTAGTAACAATAGGGCACAGCAAACAAAGCCATTTAAAAGGGTTTTGAGTTCTCCTCTAGAACTAAATCCATGGAATCCATTTTGTATTCAGATCGGTGAACTAAGTGTCAAGTATCGTCAAGAAACAAGGAGTGGCAAGCGATCAATAATCCTGTAATGTTTTGCGGTTAAGCTATTGGTCAACTGTGGAATGCAAGAAATCTTTTTTGTGTTCGAGTACTGTAAAAATGTACTCTTGACACAAGGCTTAACCTGACACTTGAGAACGATGGCTAAGAAAACACATCAAATCTGCAGGAAATGATGGGTCTTTATATTCTAACCAGTGGAAAAGGTATGGCAAATATACCGATGTAAACGGTATTACGTCACAACGAACAATGAACATGCAATAATAACCTGTTGATTGTGATATGTATGATACATTATATGACTTACTTAGTCTCTTTATTCTAATCAGTGGAAAAGGTATGGCAAATATACCGATGTAAAGGGATTACGTCACAACGAACAATGAACATGCAATAATAACCTGTTGATTGTGATATGTACTATGATATATCATAGCCCTATATGACTTACTTAAGTCTCTCTATTCTAACCAGTGGAAAAGGTATGGCAAAACTCCATTTTAAGATTCCGTTCAGTGACCACAAATAATATCTAGTTCCAAGCAGAGGCTGGAGTTGCCGCGTATGATCAAAAGTATAGTTTTGCTATGAGCGGAAACTCCAACCTCGACATGAAACTATTATTCGTGGTCACTGATCGGAACTGTAAAACGAGGTATTGTACGGATATGAACTGTATTACGTCACAATTGATCTATGAATACGGCATACTGTGCATTTAAAAAATAACCTGTTCATTATGAATGGAACAGTAATGACTATCAAAAACTGCGACAAACCCGAATAAAGAAAAAAGAACAATAGTCACGTGATTTCCCACAATGGCATGAGCTCCCGTGTCAGAGCAACCTTTGGATAAGAAAGGTGGAGAAATTTATACTACAGAAAGGCTTGTACTAAGTACATTAGAATAGACTGTGCTATTCGAGATGATTCGAGATGTTCTCTTCTGTATGTGACTGGGCAACAAAGTGAAAACGTCCGAATCTTTCTCTTGCGTTTTATCCGTAGTTTGCTGGGGTGTCATACTTTGACAGATAATTTATTATATTCTTGTGAGAAAAGATAGAAACTAAAGAAGGGAAAAGACGAAAACGAAGGAGAAAAATGACCGTAATTCAAGTTCAACCGACGACGACTCCGTTCGCGAGCGGAAACTAACGGGCAGAGGTTCAGCCGACTGGAACTTTAACCGGAAGATCGAAAATCTCACGCAAACTGCCGAAATAAAACACATAAAATAAATAATAAGAATAAATAAATATATATTTGTTACTAGGATTCTGATTTGCACTACATATAGGACTACATGATTTGAGATATGTAAATACTATAAATAGGACTACATGATTTTAGATATAGTTTTAGTCGGTTTTGATTCTTAATGATTGTAAAGATTGTAAAGCGCATTAGATCATATATTTTAATGAATTTTTGTGCTATATAAGTAATAAAATTATTATTTATTACCAGAGATACAATAATATAGCTTGAGGTCATAGTAACAACTTCCCTATGAGACAGAGTTGCAGAGGAATAGCATTTTATAGTTGTAAATACGTTGTTTTCAAAGCCTCCATTTTCTTGCTCTCCTTTTTTTAACGTTTCTGTTTGAATCACTTTTGACTTTTCGTTTGGTTTTATGCGCTTTCACAATAAGTGGCGCTTTTGAGTTTGCATTGAAACAAAAATGATTGTAAAACGAGAAATAGAAACTTAAAAGAAAGATATAAATCTGAAAGAAACGAAAATTGCAACGGCGCTAAGTCAGTGCACTGTGGTCGTTACCCGCTTCTGCGCACTGCTGACAACCAAAGTACAAGAATATGCTCTAAGAGGGAGCAGAAAAAGCTATAGAAGAGCAGCGATTGACAAAAGACTCCACGACAAAACGCCTGGACAATACATTACCAGCTATTTTAAAACGTAGTGTACAGATGCGATCCGCGGTATCAATGGATGAATCACTAGACAAAGCGATGAAAATTCACTAACGTCAAATAGTAAAGAAAAGTCAATATCATCCAGCTTTGTCAATTTTACTACAAATAGTTTCCAGACAAAAAGCAACGAAAATATTTTTTGGATGCAAAATTTATTTATTTTGTTTCTTTTAGAATTGCTTTCGACTCGAAATGATAATGAAATACACTAGAACCATGAGAGTAAATTGAGCGCCGAAAAAAACGATCTACTGCGCCCGCTCACCTTGACTTTACTACTTGATAATTAATAGATTCAAATAAACCTACATTTCATAGACAGAAAACCTCAAGACGTAGAATGAATACATGAATTTTACGCAAGTTTCGGCTACGAATTAGCATATCAAATAACAAGATGATGTCTGAGAGAGTTTTTCTTGATTATCTTGGTCATGTCTACGTAAATTGAATTTCACTTGTCCATAATTTTTCGGTTGCAACACTTCTTGGAAATGACAAAAAAAGGTTTCATAATGTCAGAAATTCTATTAATGTTTTTTCTTTTCTGGAGAAGATTTCAGTGTAGATTTTATCTAGTAAAATGGATTGAATAGAAGAATACAAAACGATTCATCGAGCTGTACGAAAGGCTTTAGATTTGCTTTGTTGCGCTTTGAAAGAATTTGCAATGATATTACATAGGAGCTCGCTGGCTATAGCTAAGTCGCACAAAGAATATCTTTAAATACTGAATACTTACAGTTTCGAAGATTGAAGAAATCATAAAACCAAAAAAACAATGAAACTCGAAGCCTACAAGAAAAGAAAATGGCCATGGATTATAACACGGAAGCAACGAAGCATGGATGGTGGTCAGCGCCGAAGACTAGAAAGCATTCTTCAAGTACACATCATTCTTTGATTCCGCAACTTCCCGTTGAGAACAGCTCACCTTCTGATAAGCATAGAGAGTTAAGTCCAGTCGCTCCTCGGCCGTGGAAAACTCACACTTTTTTATCTGGAAACCACAAGAGAATGCAATGTATGAGACACAAAATCACATCACATCTGTTTGGTGTTATTCTACACGCGAACGAGTGGCCAACTATATTAGGGTTGCTACGCTTTTCTACTGACCCGTGAATGAAAGAGTAGCTTAGCAGGGGTTGCAAGGCCTGATGACACACACATGCGTATGTACAAAAACCGCTCGCTAGGTCGTCCATCGAGTATAAGCTCCAGCTACAAAGAATTGTTTTCTTGGTTTGAACACAATAAATATTTCATTCATTTTCAAAGACTGCTGCATAGCGAATGGTGCGTCACATATCGTAGTTGATGAAATTATTAATCGCCGGAGATCAAAGCGCTGGGGCGGCCATCTCATATTGCCCTGTAAAACCATTACAACCTTTGATACAAAAACTAAAACAATATTTCCCCCCTTTTTTACGTCTACGAAATAATTTTTTAAAATGTAAAAAATAAAGATATTTCCATAATCACAAAACCAGACGTTCGATAATTATTCGGTCAGCTGTATTGTCACATAATGGCCATATATTTTGATAAACCATTTCTTTGGCGTAAGCACTCTCATAACTGTACGTGCGCGTCTCATACTTCACGCAATAGTCCAACTAGGTCACATGACTACATTATCTTAAGTAGCAATAGTAAGCTACGATTTTCATTGAATTAAGTAAGAATCCCCTCAATGGCGGATCACTACATCTTGAATCCTATTTGAAGTTAAGATATTCAAACATATTTAATGTCTTAGCTAATTTTTAGTCAAAGTATGATTGTCATGAAGTCTGCCGTCTGGTTTTCCGCAATAAACTAAACTACATATAAAGTCTAACTGTCAATTTGAAGTTTGAGAATTTTTGTTGTCGTATAATTTGAAATAAAAATGTAACTTCGAAGAAGAGTAAGAAACTAGTTTTAAAAACTTAGATTTTTCGAAAATAAGACCTATGTTTTTTCTTATTCTGAAAATACCATTTCTTTTTACATGCATTTCATTACTTTCTATCTTAATGACAAGTTTACAATTGCATATTACTCGCTCATTTCATAAAATACGCCATCCTTGCTCATTTGTTAACTATCCGCCCCAAGCGTCCATTCCGAATATTTTACAACCAAACAAACTTGAACCTTTTAGCTATGCATTTCCAGATTTTTGATAAATTGTGATTATTTTGCTTAAATGAATGAAATAACTGCATAATAATGGATAGATTCTATTGTAAAAAAGTTGAATATTAATGCTGAATGACTGCGTGATTCGAGGTTCGCCGGAGTCTAGCTGGGAAATTATAACGAGAGTCTTTTAGAAGCCTAAAAGCGAGAGCACACGATACAACATTGCGCGCAATATTGCCGGTCAATGTTGCTGAAGAAGTTCTTTATCAGGAACGTTGCGTGCAAAAAATTACGCCGTGCGACATGGCTCACATTATCGATTGCATGCAACATTGCGCGCAAATGCAATTTTGCACAGCGCCACGCGCAAACTTATTTTTGATTTTGTACTATTTTCCAATGGCTGGCAAAGCTGTTCATTATGCAGTTAGCCAACCATTTTTCTGGTCGTAATACTTACCATACTAACAACCGGCGTCGCAAGATACAGAAGGCATAAACTTAAGTCCTACACTCACTTTTTGCGATGCTTGTGAAATACAACTTCTTCCCTGAATTAATCCGGTTTAATATTAGAAAGAAAAAGAAATGTGTCGCTTTTTTGGGAGTAATGTCCTTTTGACTGACACTGATACTACAAACACCGGCTACAAGAATATAAAATGATATCAGGTAACCTGAGATTGCGAAGTTAAAAAATTTCAATAAAACGAGGAAAGAAAATATGGTAAAGTGATTAATGCATTCGCGTCTTTGTAAATGCAGTTTTTTTAAGCACAAATTAAATTGGATAATACAAAAAAATCCACTTTCATTACGCTTTCTTTTCAATTTAAAACTTGAGATTTAACTCTGAACTGGCAATTTCCGACAGAGTAATTATAGTCAGGTAATGACTAGAGATTTTACTCCAAGCTAAGTTAATTTCCAACCTATTTTTAAGTCTTGAATATCGACTTACCTTTCTCAGTTTTTTTCTTTTTTTCTCAGTTTACTAAAACAGAAAACCAACCGTATTAAACCGCGTTTTTTTTCAGATTTCTGACGCGGATTTCTAGAACATAACGTTCACAAAAAAAWWAATAAATAAATAAATAAAAGGCAATGATGAACCGACTTGAGAAAAACTAGCGTTTATCGATAAAAAATTAACGACGTCTTTCTGTCACTTTTGTCTAACAGATTTCAGTTATCGGTAGTAAATGGATAAACAAAATTATGCGACAAGTAATTAGAACTCTTGGAATACTGATCAATGTTTTTTTGTCTGGGAACTAATTTTATACTTTATAATTTTCCCCCGTAAGATTAATAAGTATTATAGATATCATTAAACATCAATAAAATGGAAAATGTTAAGAATCGTACTCAATATTGCAATGGATATCTTATTGAAAGTCTGCCAAACTAAAAAACCATAAATATTAAGTTTGATATTGGTACACAAGACAGACAGACAGCCATCTGTTCGATTACGCGACCTCCGTTATCAAGCTTATTTGTCTATAACAGAGCAGGACTCAAAATCGGCTAAACCAGTAAGGACGTAAGAAACCGAACCTCAAGATAAGAGAGACAAACACCAAGGGTTACGTAGTAATCTGATCGTTCGGTTGCTTGGCAACTAAAATTAATTGGCAATTCGTTTTTTCGCGAAACTTCCAAGTATTTCAAATCAACAGAATGAATCTGAGGAACAATCAGAAATAATAATAATAATAATCTTTGGGGAGAGGGGGGGGGGGGGACTATCGAATTATGACTGAAGCCATTATAATAAACAAAACGTTTACTCTTTGTAGACAGTAAAAATTAATTTGCAATGTTACAAATATACTGTACTCACCGTAGGTTTAAAACTGGACAATGGGGAGAGGGGGTTATAAAGTTAAAGAGATGGGAAACTTTTTTTGCCTACAAATTTTATAACGGGAGAGGACATACACTCTGTGCTTGGGATTCCTGTGAAGTCCCTATTCCTCTCCCCAGACCTAGAGCTTGAGGCAGCCTAAAGGAAAAGGCCAATCAATGGATGACTTATCATAYGGATCAATGGATGATTTATCAGTGATCAAGAGGTGATGTACATACACTACAATTAATCATTGATTATTCTTCCAATAAGACTAGTGAGTAGGCGGTTTGAAGGAGTGGGAGTAGAGGAAGAACAAATTCATATTGGACGGTATTCTTTCCTGACTTCCAGGAAATTACAGAAAGATGGAAAAGCACTACACGACATGATTTTAATCTTATCAAGTTCACAGGTGCAAAATTTGGGTTCCCTGTGGCATCCCTACCCCTCTTTCCAGGAGATACCCCAAGATCTAGGCTGGGAAAATGTCAACCAAGGAATGATTAATCATACCATTCACCAAGAAACTGCATGGTCTACAAATATTTAATTCTTAAGACTATATCTAGGAATGAGTTAGCATAGACAGGAAGAATAAGGTTAGGCATTTCCTCATTCACCCTCCATAGGGGTAGGTAAGGGTATCTTGAACACTCTAAAATTTAATTGTAAAAATTATAAGAACATTGTAGCATGCACTTAATGCCTTTAGCCACTCTAAGACTCCCCATAGGCCCRTGACTAGGGCCTTGAAAAGGGAGGTCAATTTTTCTACCAATATTAATTAGGCCATTTCTTGAATAACTAAAATAGCGCTTAACTCCTACAAAGGTGGAGAGGGAGGTCATTTAAACTATCGAACCGCCCCTGGCGATGGGCCTGCCCCACCAACTAGTCCATGGGTTCTAGAGCCTGAGTGCTTAATTTCCAGTCGTAGGTTAATTAACACTGGAGCAAGATATCTACATTTTTGAATTCAGGGTACCCACTAGCCTGCTTAGCGGTGCTGTGAGAAAAGGAGAGGGGGACTGGAGAGACAAAAATGTAAAAAAAAATCAAAACAATGTTTCAGTTAAAAAACGTTTAAATGAATAAATTTCATTTAGAGAAACAACAAACCACAAAAGACAAACCACAGACTGCTTTAATGAATTACCGACAGTAAGGCCCTGTTAGGAATGAATTACAACAAGTGACAGAAATTGCATTCCATGGGTACCCCCACTAGTAGGGGGCCTGACATCCTCACACCTCACTACCCCCTCTCTGCCAAAAAATAAATATGGAAATAACACATGCTCATTTTAACATGCGTCAATGCATTAAGTGTCTGTATAGTATAAACAATGACCAAAAATAAATTGATTATGGGAAAGTGGAATAATCATTGAAAATTATTCCTCAGCCAATATATTTAAAGGTCTGAAATTGCGTTTTTTCCTCATTGTTCTCTCCATGAATAGGGCTTACCTAGCAAGATTACATTGAAATTAGCTATCACTACTGCTGGCATAATTGTATTTTTTTAGTATACCTAAATGGATATTTGGTATCTATGATACATAGCCTACAGATATATCAAGACGTGCTTAAAACCCAGATGCTAGTCACTAAATAATTAATGAATATTATACCAGTCGACAACAACTACTTATTAGAGGCCATAGACATGCAATCCTGTTCTTGTGCATATTAACCAGTCAAAATAAACCCTGTGACAATAAGAAATGAATTTATTTGCATACAGAAGTTATTTACAGTGAGGAAACTCGAACCATGAACACTTCAGTTTTCCGTCAATTTTTAAAAGCACACTATAAATCATGACCATTGAGCCAATCGATTGGAAATAAGCTTTATTTTGAGCTTTATTTTGATCACTCAGTGTGATTTGAACTCAATTTTTCATTTTAGAGGTTTTGAAACAGTAGAAAGTTCAGGAAATAATGACCTGAAAAAAACTGGAAGTGCTCACGGTTGAGTGATGTCCTTCGACACCTCACTGCTACGTCCAATTTTTTTTTAAAATAGCCAGTTTTTATGAGATTGGCTTACAAATGTAAACTTGATTCCAGATAATATCAAAATAACTAAACTACATTTATTGAAATATTTAATTAATGTAGGATCAATAACTTTCAAAAATGATCGCTTGCATTGCAGTCAAGAAAGAGAGCAAGCTTCTTATATCTTTATAATGCTATAGGTGCAATATAGAGGGGTATTGAGTGCAAGTTAATTCCCAGTGGAATCAATTTTCTTAGATTGTCGGGATGAATAATAAAGGCTGATTAGTGACTGCAAAGTACTAGTGTCTGGATAAATACTAGTATAACTACAAAACGAAATTCAACATGAAAAAGCAACTTTTCATTAATAATTTATCGGCAGATCTCTCTCTGTAAGAAATACAACTCTTTTAGTAAAATAAAATCACTAGCTCAGTTTTTCTTTATAAATAGATTTAATTTTAGATCTACCAGAGCATTAACCTATTTTCTAGACAGCTTTATTAGTCTAAATATAAATGTTACATAAACCTTAAGGCGAATGGAATTCATTATGATATGTTGCGAAAGCCTCCCACTAGATCTGCGGGTGCAAGCAAAATAAATACATATTTAAATATTCTTCAAAATTTATGTAGTATCTTGGACTACAGAGTTGCTTTAGGTAGAGATATAGTGATGGAACTGAGTCAGAAACCAATCTTCGCGGACGATTTTACAATCAGTCGACTGCACCTGCACTTGAGACATCCATCGATCTTTGCATATTTATCACAGTGCGGGAAACCAGTTCTTATAAAGAAAGAGAATAAAGTCTTTGATCTATAGACGTTATTCAAATGTTTGAAGATCACACATAAGAAATCGGTCCGGATTGTATTATTTAGATAAGAGACTTTAGTAGGATCGGATTGAGCGCTTTTTATTTTTGCAGGTTCGGACAGGTCACACATCATATTAACCTACTGTCGCTAGTAGAGTATATATTGTGGCACATCTTTATAGCATTTTCAATGAGGAAGTTGTGACTTTCCACAGATTTTGCTTACGTTCATTCATAATAGCTGAATGAAAAATACTGAAAGTCTTCTTAAGATAATGTAAACAGCAGTTTAAAAAAGGTCTTATATTCGGCTTGAAAATTCAACCGGTAAATGGGAAAATTAACCCATTTGGAACCATTTGTGCAATTACTTTGCTGCGCGCCGTGTGTGTCTGCAGAATGTATTCCCCTTCGGTTTTTAAAATGTTATCTCCGACTTAATATTTTATCGACATTCTATCTGTTCTAGGAGAAGAAGAAGAATAAACGTAAATAAAATGTAGTTGTTATTATTTATATTCGATTGCATGAGTTTTGCCTGAATGGCGTCTAGTTTAGTCACTAAAACATGGGAAAAACTAAGGTCGAATAAATGCCGGTAAAATCTTCGAAAAGGAAATTCTCGTTGGCTTGAACAGTTTTTCTATCATTACACATAGATTTAGAGTCAAAACGCTATAATGAAGCACGTATTTAAGCTTTAAGTAGTGRGTGCAGAAATGAAGAAATCTTTGACCAAAGACACAAATATTTCAAGTCGCCCACAACAAAAGCTTACCTGAAAATAAGATGGAATTTCCCCTCGACCTTCTGATAGTTTGAAAACCACGGACTTCATGAGTGTAACCGCGAATCTTTTACATTGTCAGTCCACTAAAATCCTGAAGTGTTTCAGCACTCCTTTCTCGATCCAAGTCGCCGTTTGACGAGAGAATTTTCTACAAATCCATTTTCTGTCTGAAAGAGTGAAAAAGCACGCTGACCTGTCTCGTGAGCCGGCTCGACTCCGCCTCCACTATATAGTTCTCAGAGCTTTTTCAAATAAATATTCCAAAAATTCACAATTGGACTTGTCAGACTTGAACCATCAAGTGGAAGGCACTTTTATTATTGTGGGTTCGAACGTCAGAGGTACTTTGCACCATTTGATGAAAAGAAGAACCTTTGCAGTGGACCGGAATAGAATTGAAAAATATTTTGACGGGTACCTTTAGTCAGCCTCTAAATGAGAATCAACCAAACAAATATAAAAAGTATATGAAAGATTGGCAAATAATTCCTGAATGATTTGAATATTTCAGGATGAAGGCTTGAAAATATTCGATCTTTGGCAGCATATGATCCGCAATGCAAATCCTCTGCAAGGTCTGTAAGGCACCCCACTGGGCTTTCAAACCAAACAATTTCATTGTAGGGACGACGACGATGCATTTTAATCACACAAATTAGCTGGATTTCTTTTTAATTTTGTGTGTTTAATGTACACATTATATTTAAATGAATAACCAATGACGTCAAAAATAATGTAAAATTTTTTCCCCAGAGTGGGGTTGCCTCCTCTGAGTTCGTGAATGCGATCGAGTCAATTAGTTTGTCCATTACATTCAGCGAAAAATCTATGAATAACTATGACTTGAATGAAAAATCGAGTGGCTATTTTACAAGTCTTGTTATCCTGCGTAAGCACAGCAACCAAAGGCACTGCAGATGTTACCAAATAAGGCAAAAAGATTTCTAATCGACTCAAATCACAAACTGGTTGATCAGTAAAGATTAAATTTAAACTAATATAACATGTTTTTTTATTGCACAATTTTAGCGAAATTCAGTGTTATTCTAATGATGAAAGTACTCTGTGACATCCCTCTAGGAGATGAAATGATATCAGGGGGCAATATATAAACAATAAACATTTTTTCTGGGCGTTTACTTCGGATATTCTGCGTGGAAAATAAAAAAAGGTTATATTTGTTCAATACCAGAGGCAAACGATTAAGACAAATCGATTAAGAGAACTTATCGCCATTTGCCGGTTTGATTTAAACTGTCTGCTGATACAAAATGGAAATTTTGTTACTGTGTCAAAAAGGAAAATGGAAATTTTGGCGCATTTACGTTTTTGCTTCATTCACTGGTATCTCGTTACATCATTACCGTGGCTCGTTCAAGTTCATTTGCTCATAATTATATGATGTTTACTTTAAGAGGGGAATTCAAAACAAGAGGCTCGTAAAATTCAATTCAATTCAGTGAACATAAAATACACAGGCAGGAATCCGTTAAATAATTTGATCTGACAGACGCAACTTCTGCTTGGCTAACCATTTCAAGACAAGGACCCAAAAACGATTTTTTAGTGGCTCCTTGTATTTACACTTTTGATTTAAGTTTTTAAAAGAATAAGAAATTAAAGGCGCGATTACACGGAGCTGCTACTTGTCTCGTATCGGCGTTGCAACACAAGTTGCATGGAGCATGGCAGCGTGTAACCTACAGCGCAATTTGAAAAACGTTGCGAGCAAGTTGCAGGAATCGTTGCGAAAAGTAAAATTCGTTTCTACTTTTAGCAACGATTGCGTATCCGTTGCACCGTGTAGAYACTCTTGCAACTTGTGTCGCAATGCTGTTGCAAGACAAGTTGGAGAGAAAATTGCTCTGTGTAATCGTGCCGCGTTAATGCTAGATTTTCATTTGTGTTTTCGTAACACAAATTATCATATGACCCGTACGGCCCTGCTCGCGCGCTCTAATAAAACCATTGGAAAAAAGTCACGTGATGGGGGCCGGACGGGTTGACGTAAGCGGGCCGGAAAAATCCGTCCGGCCCTGCTCGAATCCGCGCGCTTTCTTTTTCTTAATTATTTTTATTTTCGTGAGGGTCATATGATAAAATGCTCATTGACTGAGTTAGGTCGGGCCGTACGGGAAAATATTTGGCTCGAGGTCATTTGTACGGACCTCGCTGCGCTCGGTCCGTACGACATGACCTCGAGCCAAATATTTTCCCGTACGGCCCTCCCACTCAGTCAATAAGTACATATGACTGACATGCATACCGGCAGAGGCGTAGCCAGGATGTTGTCTTGTGGGCCCAAAACCCGTTTTCAGAACATATCGTATGAACTTATCACGTGACTACTTGGCCCTCTGGGTGCCTACTGCCTGGTTTGCTAATCATAGCAAGGGATTAATCATCTACGAACTAGGGACCGACTAACGTCTCACTTAGGCTTTTTCCGAGCTTCCTGATCTGTAGTCTGCAATTCCTTACGGGATAGCGGTGTTGGCCCGGATCGAAATCGCCAGCATAGCCGTAAATGCTTCGGCGTGCTGCCATATACGACGCTTCAGTAATCGATGTCTGGAAGCATTTCCCTTATTTAGAAAATAATCCCCTTCCGCCCGTCCAAAAATAGTTTCATAAACAGGATGCATCATGGTCTAGCTTGGGTATGACCAACACTATATAAGGTATGTTAAACAAGAGATGTTTGCACTGGAACCAGACTGTGTAATAATTGTCATTAGAATGGAATAAAAGATTATTTTAAAACTATGAAAAGTCTTATAGCTTCCTAATTCTGAAACTTTGGCCCTCAAAGCTAGAAACTATCACGAACTCTTCTAGCGAATATACACAAATGTTTCTTAAAACTTTGAACAAGCTTTTGTCTATTAGGTAGGCCACATAAGAAGATTTGTTCTATGTGTGAAAACAACTCATTCGTCATTTTGCAAAAGGAAATAGCCTGTGTAAGTAGAACAAGCGAAGGAGGCAAGGAACTAGAGTGAATTCACCACTTATCTACACCCCTCTTTATCCCTTAACGCCATACTCTTAAGTTAGTACATGGACTAAAATATCACTAGTTCATTGAGTGATATCAGTATCTTCTCTTCTTTTCATAATGAATCCTTGCTTGGTACTGCTGCTGCATTAAGCTATTTGGAAGTGGATTCCCATACTGAGGAGACGAATATCCTCCATGTTGGTAATTATTAGATCCGTAACTATTCTGTCCATGCCTTTGGGAATTGCCCATGTAGGGTGTCATAGCGTCATTTGGCTTTCCTTGGAATAGTGGAACAGGACTATGTCTGGAGAGGTCAGAGTTAAAGCTCAGAGGAGAAGACCTGTTAGCTTGGTTAGGTGCAGGTGATCCAATATTTTGGGGTTTAACAACAATACTTTGACCATATAAACATAATCCATTGATAAGCTCGGAAGCATATGTCACTGACACAGGGCTTGAAAACTCGACAAATCCAAAGCTACGTTGTATGCCAGTATCCTTGTCTTTAGGAATAGATACTCTGTCTACTGGTCCAGCCTTATGGTAAAAAAACAAGTTTTACATTACACAATAGACCCGTTTTGAATTCCAAATTACCACTGTGTTTCTTGATTACAGACTCATTTGCACAGGGTTAGCCTCGAGTTTGTGCAGAATATTCACGTGTTCCAGTCAAGGTCCGTCGAGTTTCGAAGTGTTTGTATTGTTGAAGTTGTGCATTCTTTACTTTACCGTTGGTATTTGTGAATATTTAAACACTGATTCGAGGCTAACCCTGTGCAAATGAGTCTGTAATCAAGGAACACAGCAGAAATTTGGAATTCGAAACTGGTCTATTATACTGGTAAAGCCAATAACAATTTGCACCATCACCCAACGGCAGCCATTTTAGACGACAGGAACAATACAATCATTATACATGAGAATGAATTCAATTCCCAAAAGTAAAGGTATTTTATTGTTCTGCTATCTAACCACAGGCAACCCAAGCTGTGTTATGGGCTCTGGCACATAATGGTGCAAAAGCTCTCTATAGACAATTTTAACTTTTATTTTGAGTGAAATGTTTTTCCATTTCATGTAACTGAGTAACCCAAGCCTCATTAGTGAGAGATAGCAGGAATGCACCACCCACGCTTTCAAATTTCTGGATTATTTCAATTTTGGAAGCAATCATTAGGATCAACTAACACTGCTAAATGTTAAGCCCCAGGTTATGTGTCTTCCAAGAGGGTGCAGCAACTCAAGGGAATTTCACATAAAAGCTTGCTATGCTTGGTTTGGAAATTGATACAGTACATGTTCTTGCTTCCTCTCATTAGAACCATTGATTCCGTTAGCTGTTCCCTCACTTAGCCCTATTGTTTGTCTTTTCTTAATTTATTTATATTTTTGTTAAAAGATTTTTTATAGTATTTAGTTAATGCAAGACTCTAAATAATAAAGGAAATTTTGACTCTGGCATTTCAAAAAATGTCTTCCCACTTGCCATAACCTCAAGCTATATTTTGAAAATTGTGCCTTACTTTAGTTATTGCTTAATTGAGGGTAGTTTAGATCTAGAAGGCCCAGTGGAAGATTAGCTTCTGCTAAACTGGTGCACTTTTGTAAAGTGTTTTTTAACCTTCTTTAAATAAAGTTTATCATTATTATCATTATTATTATTATCTAATCCAATAAAGTTAGGGATTTAAAAAAGTGATAAAATCTAACCCAACAATAACAAGTACATCTAAGTAAGCTTACATTTAAAATATACTATACGACCCTTTGTCATACAACGAGTAGGAGTTATTAACGCCAACACAGCCCTAAACGCCTGGATTTTGGAATTCTTTAATCAAAAATATACTAATTGAAATGGTTGGAAATATGAATGATAGAATCCAAAATCGTTTGGGAAAGTATTGGTCGAATAAATATGAAGATTGGTAAACTTAAGATCGTAAGAAGATTGACTTACTTGTAAAAATAGCTCCCACATGATTTCTTCAGTGACTCTTTTCTCGAGATTCCCAACGTAAACCGAACATTCTCGACTGCTGTAGTCACCCTTAGACATAGCTTAAACACTGCACTTAATAAGAAATCACTTTATAATCCTTGGTAACGATRATTATTGGAAAATAACAGTGAAAACTTGAGCAAAACGACAGAATCGAAACTAAAACTGTTGTATTGGATTGCTGGTCAGCGGACTCCGAAGGCCACAGGACTCCCAGTTTCAGTTTGTGAAGAGTGTGGAAACAGCGGAACCCGCAGACTTATCAGACTCCTGCGGAACAACCTCAGAAAAACCAAGAGAATGAAAAAATATTTTGATGCAAAAAGTCATTTATATCCATATAATATGATTGTTTATACAATATTATATTTTTCTTATAAAGAGCCTATAGTTCATATTACGTCACTGCAGTAAATACGCGATTGATCCTGCTTGACATTGATTGACAATTGCTATTTTTATGCCAATATTTACGGTGACCCATAGGAAGCACACAGCCCCATACAGCACGTTAAACAAATAAGAAAACGAGCTGCATATTAGCCAAGTTACTCTTCATAACGATCCTACGATTTGGTTAATGAGGAGGTTCTTGTAAGGAGAATGAGGCATGGGCAGAAACAAGTGGGAGGCTGGTCCATTTGGGTAAACATTGACCTGAGTATCAGGCTATCTTGGGGAGAGGGGGAGAAGAGGGCCGATATAAAGAAGGCCTTCCTTTCTCTTCACCACCTCTCCCCAGGTCCCCAAACCCCTCCCCATGCAGTCCGAAGGCATGATACTCAGGCTAGGTAGACATGCAGTACGGCAGTACCACTGATATAAACAGAAATTATTGAAGAAATAGAATACGCGTGCGCGTGCTGTATACAGTTATAAAGCACGCGGGAGTTGGCAGAGCATGAGAGAAGTGTTAGGAGAAGCATGACGCGCAGTGGAGTGCTTCTCGACACTTCTCGACACTTCTCGAGTGTTCTGCAAATCCCCAAGTGCTTTATACTGAACACAGCACAGCAAGCAAGTTTCTTATTTCTTTAATAAAATACAAATTAAATGAAAGACGAAACTGAAAGTGCGCGCGCATGCTGTGTGCTCTCATAAAGCGCGTGCTGCCAACCAATCAGAACGCGAGATTTATTAACAGTTATTTTATAAAACCATATAAGAAAGCAGAAAATACCAAGAATCCTCTTGTCAGGAAACTGTTCCCAGACAGAAAAACGCACTCCTCTTTTCTTCGATTTCCGATTTTTGAGATTGCTTTAATACCAATTAACTGTTATATACTGAATATGGCCAAAACCGAATTAAGTAGTCACTGTGTCTAAAAAACTAATCAGTGGCAATTTATGATCTCTGCAAGCGGCACAAATCGACAAACGTGTGGCGCGTGCGCTCTATATTAGTGCAGTTTTCGTATGACTGTGAAAGGTTCACGGCACGAACACGGTCGTGACACATAAAGAGATACGCAAGACAAATCACATTGCACGAGAATTTACTCTCCATCCAATCAAATACCCGGAACACGGCATAAACACGGCGCGGACACGGTCACGCCAAGATCACGGCACAATCATATTGCGCGTGAAAAAATCAGCCAATTAAAATTATAGAAAGTATCACGGTCACGGCACGTCACGCTTACGGCACTGAGATTTTCATAGTCATACGAAAACTGCACTAATAACCTGTGAGTGAATATTGAAGAAATAGAAAACGCGCGCGCGTGCTGTGTGCTGTCATAAAGCACGCGGGGGTTGGCATAACACGAGAGAAGTGTTAGGAGAAGCACGACGCGTAGCGGATGCTAATCCCCAAGTGCTTTATGACTGCACACAGCACAGCAAGCAAGTTTTTTATTTCTTTTATAAAATACAAATTACAATAATAGATAGGAATGACGCAACGGAAAGTGCGCGCGCGTGCAATGTGCTCTTATAAAGCACGCGCTCCAAACCAATCAGAACGCGACATTCATAACAGTTATTTTATAAAACAAAATAAGAACTAAATTATGCCCAATGAGCGCGCCCGATTTATTGTATTCTCTTGTGTAAAAATACTAATATGCTTTTAAAAAATAAAAAATATTATCCGGATACGGTGGGATTCGAACCCAACGACAGGAAAAAAAAAAGACAAAAAATCGATCCCACTGTGCCATACCCCCGAGACATCCGCAGAGCTGGGGCGTCGTATGGACTTCGGACCTGACGGCGATTAAATCCTTCTGCCCTTGGGTGTACGAATTACGCAAGAAAATGTTCTAG